AAGCAGGTGGCAGGGGCTGGGGGTTCAATTCCTGGGCCTGCTGTGCTGGCCCCACCACCAGGCGCACTGAGACGGCAACTGAGACTGGGCATGGTGGCGCATGCCTATAATCCCAGCATTTGGGAGGCTGAAAACAGGAGAACCACTATGAGTCCAGTCTACATAATGAGACCCTGTACACCCTTTCCTGAATACAGGAAAAAAATAGTTATTTCCCCAAATTGGTCTGGATATGTTTAAGTTTTCTATTTAACTATAAAACTGTTTAAGAAGACAAATTATATATATTAACACAATGTTCATCAGTATTGAAAGGTCAGTACCACCTTACTTGTTTTTTTCCTGCTAGTTGCATAATCACTTGTGACACTGATGGTTTATACAAATGTGAATGTTTTAAAGATAAGTCTTTTTACAACTAATTTTTAGAATTTTCTTTCTAATAGGACCTCAAGAAGATCAAAAGTAACATTTTTATTTTGTGTTTCATGCTCATTTTATGACTGCGTCTTGCACTTCCTATTAGCTCCCCTAAAACTTCCTTTTAACCAAGTACTTGGTGGCGTACAGTATAGGTGGCTATGCTTAAAAGATGACTTCTAACATACTAACTCATAGCCAAGCATTTGTGAGCTAAATCTTTATGCCAACTCTTCCTGAGGTCTTCTTTTCTTTCTCAACCCACTGAAGTTACCAAAACAGGTTACTAAATTCCAAGTCTTCATCTAGCAATAATTTCACAAGTTTGTTTGACTTCATCTAAATTTCCTTATGAGTACTTTTTGAAGACAAGTTCAGTCATCTATAATTTCTTCACTGCATGCAAAACACACACAAATAATGCTTTAGGGTTTTTTTTTAACATTTCTTATTCTTTGTATTATAAAGGTATCCAAAGGATTGGAAAGTCTGCTACAAAAAGTCATATATTGAGGTTTTTAAAAGTTACATTGTTCTTTAATGGGAATAATATCAGTTTTGTCACCTGTGTTCATAAAGTAGTGCAGTAGTCCTTGCAGAGTATGATAGGAATATTGACTAAAACTCTTAAAAAGTAGAAGAAATAAGAAATGCTAAACTTGATTCCATTGTGGTGTAAAATTGTTAACAAAATTATCAGAACAGCAATTTTAGAGATATTTTCTAGGTGTTGCTTTACAGCATTCTACTAGTACTTAATGAAAATATGCTTTTGCAATCAATCAAATATTTGTTCTCAGTTCCACTTCAAGATACTTCTATTTGGTCAACTAAAGAGGTAAAGCCAAACATTCATTTTCAATGAGACTTGAGAATACCATTCAAGGAGTAGATTAGGAAATAACTGTGTGCAGCTAATGAAAATGAAGGAATTGTTGACCAGCAACCAAAATGCAATTTGTCCCTGCCATTCTTATTTTGGATTTCATAAAGGTGTTCCTTTTGTGCAGTGATGTGTGTACCTATTACTCACTGAATTTACTTTTCAGTAAATGGGGCACTTTTTTTTTTTTACATTATCTGAAGATCCATGTCATATGTTTTATGATCTAAATTCCTATGAAAAAAGAATCATTGAAATTGGCTCCTTCTCTGTGACAGTCTTGTAATGTGTCAGCCCCAAGCTTTGGACCTAGTCCAGAGTTAGCAGTGCAAAGTATCAAAGGAAGTACCTTACCCACGAACAGAGAGCACTGTGTTGCCTGTTACAGCTTTGAGGATATATTGAAGCAAGCATCTATAAAGTTTTGCATTATTCCCCTTCCTTAGCAAATGATTATTTCTATTACTTCACTCATTTAACCATAGGTGATCATTGTTCTTCAATTCTTCAATTATTCTTCAGTAGACCTCCACACATATGTCTATTTAGCTGCTAAAATTTTGAGTGCTCATTATTTAATTGGATAATCATATTGTGAATGTCATCAAAGAATAGGACTTTGTTTCCTAAATTCATTTTGCAGGACTGTCTATTGTCTTATCATGAGGAGCAGATTAAAACTGTATTTGAAAATGAAAATACTACAACACAGAACAAATAGTTCATTTGGATATATTTTTATTATTAGCATTTAATGCCTTATATTTGACAGGTACAAAGTCACTGTGAAGCAATACTCGTGGAAACTCTAATTTAATTTAAATTTTCAACTCTCAATAATTGTTCATATTGAAGTTGCTCAGCTGTGCCACAGTCTCTCCTTAAAAGAAAAAAACATGGCTCAAAGTCAGGCTACTCACAAAATTTTGTCTAATTAGCTGTTAACTTCCAATTTGTTTCGGTGTTTGTCAAATTTGGCTTCCGTGTAATGTTCTGGTTTCTTAGGTAAAAGGCATGTGTGTATAAGGTATAATTCAAGTTAACATAATGTGTTTCTTCAATTTAAGTTCATATATTCATATTGGTTTTTAAAAAGTATGAAATAGAAGTTGATGTATGAAATACCGCTAATATGTTACAGTGGTAAATGGAAATTTCATGGGCAATTCCAGAGGACAAAAAAAAAAAAAAAGAATCCTTTTCCATCACCCATGTTTTATCTATTTTTAAAAACCATAGGGGGGAAACGTGCTCACAGAAAAAAATGAAGCTTAACTGCAAAAGAAATGAATGCAAGAAATAGCTCTTTAAATAGTGAAAGGATATGAGGCATTGCAACTCCATCGCCTGCTAAGGAGCAACAGCTGTACCTAATTTCAACCTGACGTGCTTCAGATCTCATATTCATATAGGTATTTAATGATCCAAGCATAATGGTCCTATATAGAATAATTACTTATATGAAGGAGCAAACTTCATCCGCATTCCTGTTTAAATGATCCTTCAAGAGAAAAACTGCCCTGGGTCTTTGAACAATGAATAGTCTCGTTCACCAATCCAAATGTTTGGGGCTAAATAGCTTATCTTTTAAGAAAGATTAGTAATAGCACCAAGGTTACTTCTTTTTGACGGATTCTTTTGGCCTCCCCCTTTCCCAGTATATCCAGGACAATGAAAAAAGGTAGAATGCCAACCCTATCATTAGGTCGTACTGATATATGGTTACAAGAAAAATCAGAAACAAAAGAAAGTAAGGTATTTTAGAGTTAGCATATTTTGAAAGTAGAGATCCATCGCTTTGAGCTTCACTTTCCTGGACAGGAGAACTAGCAGAAGTAGATCTCTCAGCCCCTTTGTCACCTGAGGTAGTTTGTGAACGTCCGGAGTTTAATAATCCTTCATTTTCAAGCTTTTCCTCTTCTGTATTCTCAAAAGGTCCACTGATAAAAATCATGGGCCCTACAGATTTTTCTGCACTGTATTCTTCTGGTTGGAAAATCTGGCCCGTGCATCTTTCTTTTCTGTAACCCGATGAACTTCCTGAACTTGTGGCAGCTTCTTTGGGTTGAGATCCCAGAGGCCCCTGAATTTCACTTGGATTACAATTGTCTTCTGATCCAGTAGAAGTAAATTGGAGGTTTACGGTGGCAATTGTGTCCTCCCCAACTTGTGCATAAGATGGCACTGAGGTTTTAAAATGGTGAGCGGAAATGGAGGAGCCATTGTGGGGACCTCTGTTTGTGTCTGAGTGAAAAACAGAATGAACAACAGCCTCTACGTCTGTTTTCTTTGATAACTTTTGTCCATGCTCAAGATTTCTATTTTCTGCAAATATTCTTCTGTCCATTGACAATACTTCCAAATGTAAATCCGAGTTTGAGGTTTCCTTTTGATTGCTTGTTACAGCCTGGGAAGATTCTTCTGCAGATGTTGTGTTTGCCACACCATGTTTCTCCCTGTCAGGTGTCTCCCCAGGATTGTACAGATGCATGGATTGCTTCTTCTCTTTTTCATCTGCACGTACATTACAAATATCTGAATGTGATTCTTTTTCAAATTCGTTGTCATAGATTACACCTGCAGCATCTCCTTGACAAAGGGTATAATGTGAGTCATCATTTCTCCCTTCATGTGGATCAAACGCTGTTTCTTTTACCTCGATGGGCCTGTCACATCGTGCTGTCTCTTGAGGTAACTTAGCAATTATTGCTTTTTCTCTAGCAGACATGCTTCCTGGAGTACTTTCTGATGTTGTCTTAATTATATAAGCTGCACCTGCGTGTGCCTCCTCAGGAGCACCACAGTCGTCTGGAGAATACAATTCATCAGACTCCATTTCTTGGCAGGTAAACAGCTCTTTAGCCCGAGTAACATTCAGAATGGGGTTATCTCTTTGCCCCCACGCATCTCCACAGTCTGCTTGCTCTCTGATCTGCTCAGTTATATTTGTCTTATTCTCTTTTACCTTTTCCTGACTTTCTAGAATATTCCAATTTTGTTTATACTGTAGATTTTTACCCCTATCTTTAGGATCAATGCAATCTGATTTTTCATCTTCAGCCTGAAAAAGATAATCACCCCTCAGAACACTGCTATTTTTTGATGAACTGACTTTACTGGCTATCCCTTCTGAAGTCATACCTTTGCCAGTGGGGTGGTCACTCTCCACAGTCAGTGTAGTTTCTTCCCAACTTGAATTTGTCCTTGATGAAGGAAACGAATCAACTGTTATTTTCAGGACAGGAATTGATGTGTCTTTGCTTGACCAACCTATTAATTCTCTCTTCCTAGCTTCAGTCCCTTCCACATCTATTTGAGAGTGGCCAAATGTTCTTTCTTGGTCATGGAAGGATGGCTGAAAAGCTTTTCTTCGTCTTTTATTAACTCCAAAGTGCACTCTTTGTGCCTTCTCCTCTTTACCCTCGCCATCACCGTCCCTTGGAGATCCACTTTCCAATGGTTGTTCCGCATACGCATATAGACCTGAATGGAAATCTTTACTGAAACATTCCCAACCCTTTATTTCACTTCTCTCAGCTCCTCCTTCATGATTTTCATTGAGATCCCCAGCCACTTGCTGATCTGAGGAGGAGCAAGGTAGTCTCACACTGCCACTGCAATGGGCCCGATTAGCATTGTCGTCCAGGAACTCCTTTTTATCAGTGCACAACTGCACGCATTTGTCACCACTAGTAGCTTCCAGCGATGGCTGGGTTTCTCTCACGTCTGAAGTATTGTCCTCTGAAAGGTGATCAGTACATTCGTTTCTTGAGGAATATTTTTCATTGTGGTGAAAACCTCCCTTTAAGGAGCTTTCTGTTGATGAACTTGAAGACAAAGGCCTTTCGAATGAATCAGCACATAGTTCACTATGGATTTCCTTCTTCTCTAACCCCTCAGACTTATTTGGAAAATTGACCGGATCTGACGAGAATGTATCTTTTTCATCCCTGGTAGCGGCACTTCTAGTTCTTATTAAGTGTTGATTTATCTTATGGGACAAAAACAACAGAAAAATAATGACCATACGATCCTTTTAAATAGAATGAAATAGCTAGCATTTATTAATTTGGCAATTATTTGGTAGATATTCTTGACTCACTTCATTTGTGGATTTCATACAAACTCTAGAAGCTGGATGTTTTGAGGAGATCCTTGTAGGCTATGACTTGGAAATGAGATTAGTGAGAAAAAGGGGCCCAAATTAATCACTCTCCTTCCCAGCCTCCAAATATCACATTGTATTATTCAACTATTCTTGCTTGTCATTGCACTTTCTCCTCACTGAGGATATACACATTGATAGCTCCATGCTAATCAATTAGAGAGCAGCTTCCTGGGTGCCCGGCGCTGAATTTACACTTGCTGTAGGTGCCCCCATTACAGTTTCTCTTATTAATATGTTTTCTGCAAAGCCTCTGCAAACTATTAATAGCAAAACGTCACTCAAAGAAAAGTGAGGGAGCTAATGTCTCCGCAAATTCTGTTTTAATGACCCTCTGCCAACTGGTGCTCAAATGTATTTGAGCTCTTCAGTGATGCCAACTGTCAGGATTTAACAGTGAGATGCCTGTGTTTTTTTTCTCTCCTTATAACTGACATTTGCATGATCTCAATAATTATATGCAAATCTTACGTTTTCCCCTTCTTCTCACATAAGGCTCATGCTAGTTGTCAACTGCACAGCTGTCTTGTAAGCCAATGCCTGTGGGTTCCCAGATCCGGTTGTGTTTCCATCTATTATAGAGCTTCATTGTTTTATGCATTAACGTCAGCACGGAGCAAATTAGCATCTAAATTACAGCTCCATGTTCATTTATTGGACATACAATCTCAGTAACTTCTAAACAAACTTTTACATTTGAGCCCGCTCATTGTAATGAGATAGATTGGTGAAGTATGCGATTTTTTTTCAAGGTCCTTTCATTATATTCTGTGGTTTGAAAAAAAAAATGGCAATGTGAACTTTCAGCTGGTGAGAATTCTCACAATGGGTGACAACTTTGTAGTTTCTTAAAGTCGGAGCAAAGTAAATTGCATACTTTAGTGATGCCATATCCCTATCGGAAAGGCAGGCACCGGGGGGGAGAGATGAGCTCTATTTCTTTTCTCTTTCAGTGCTGACACTTGAAGAGGCAAATGTCATTTTAATCTTGGATGATTATGAATCGAGGTATCCCAATGATACAAGCTCCAACCAAGTACGATACAGGACGAATTTCATTCTGTGACTCATTTGCTTCAATTTCTTTATGTGTGGTAAAAGTGCTATTTAAATCACCCCCCTCATTCCAGATAGATTCAATGTTCACCAAATGTTTAATTTATCATCACAAATTTAACACTAAATTGTACAGTACTGAATTTGTTTCCTTCTTAAAAATTACGGCACAACGTTATTTTCTCCTCTCTTCTGAACTTAATACTTTATGATGATACAGAACTTCGAGAGCTTCACAATGAAGGAAGTGAAACAAAATGTAGAGAAATACAAGAATTATAGGTTTGAAGAGCTGTACCTATTGGTGATCTGTTCTGCTGTCTCATTTTACAGATGAGTTTATGCTAAGTGTACACTTATCCCAAAGATTAGAAATGCACGGCAGTATAGGGTTTCCTAGCCCTACAATTTGTACAAACTATTATTCAGAGGCTCTGGTAAGGAGATAAGAAATGAATGTCATTAATTTACTACCAGAGACCAGAAGCAACACGCTGAAATCCAAGTGGCTTGTTGGTCAAACTAGAGAGGCCAGGGCAAAAAAGGCTGCGCCTTCACATTTGCAGATTATGTTAAAGCTGATGAAAGGTGAATTGCAACATCTTTGAGGAACAAATGGATTCTTTTTCTCCAGTTCCATGGCAACTAAAACACTTACCATCAGCTCTATTTCTTTTTCATTATGTCCATCATGATCCCTGTTTACAGCCTTTACGTTTTGATTACCAGCATCCAAGTCTTCCTTATCCTCATAGGAGCAAACAATGGCTGGGATATCAGTGTCTGAAAATTAATGAAATTGAACTTTATAAGATTTTCATAATTGTAGACCTTAATAAAACAATGTTTTAAAAATTAAATGAAATATTACCTGCGAACTTTGATTCCTTGAAGTTATTCTCTTCTAATGTCATTGATGATTGTTCTTTACTGTTTAAAGGAAAACAGGGTGTTATGCTTTTGTTCTGAGGCTACACCTCCCAAGTATTTTTACCTAAGAGAAAATTAAAGTCACTACAAAGCAAAAGAAATATTACATGACCTATGAATTTTTCTGTATTTTTAAATAGGGCCAATGTTTGGAATGATGCAATAGTAAACATTGGCTGTAAAGAAGTTAAGTAATTCATACATGCAATATTTCTAAAGGAGATTATGTTTTTCATACAAGGTTCATACAACCAAAATAAAAATACGTGAATGTAGACTATTCTATCATTCATCAATTTATGTTTTTAAGTGAGACCATCTTTCACTTGGTTTACATTATAAAGTTTTATGAAATGGTATTTCCTTTGTGTCATTTCAAATATTTCAATTATTATTTGTTTTAAATTTTACTTCAATGTTTTTTAGTTGAAAACATGAAAATTAACTCTTTTTCCAAAAAGGGAGCATTGCACAAGCTAATTTAAAATTGAAAAGCAGCTAAATTTATACTCAAAATATTTTATAAGCATATTGCCACAAGCCAATAGTGTCACCAAGATTTCGGATCATTCATATGCACATATGCAAGCTATATCTTTCTTTTAAGAAAAAACGATTCAGGTTACATCTGCTTTTCTAGGGTATTTTGCCTACTGATTAGAAAAAAACGTATTTATTCCATTCAAATATAATCTTTTTGTAGGTGGATTTGACAGGTCATCAGAATTTAGACTTTTTTTCATGATACTCAGTATGATAGGTATTATTAATAAAGATGCCCACTTTGCGGAGTTATATTACACATGGATTTATCAGAAATATTTGGCACAGTACCTACATTTTCCTACACGGTCTCAGCTGAATTTTGATATAACGATTTTCTTTGCAACTGAAGACACATTAAAAAAAATGGCAATAACTGATAAATTTGCGGAAGGGAGCCCAGTTTTCATTGCACAAGCAATCTCGGTACAAATTCCAGGAAGGTTGATTTTATTTTAACAAATTATAAGGAAACAGCAAATTCTTCCCTTTCACTTACATAAGAAAGTAATTACTATTATGTATAATTATGATGTTTAATTTTAATTTTTATAAACTTATTTTGCACCTCTATTTGGGTACAAAACAAAAATTTATGTTTCTGTCTAGATACCATCTCCCTGGAAAAATGTGTAAATGATGCAGACTTAATCTACAAATTTATATTGTTCAATGAGGCCTGTGATTACATGAAAATGTATTTTAATGGAATCTAACTGCAAGCTTGGGCCCCTTTTCTTCTCCCTAGTACATTACATTCCTGGTATGTGCAAGGAATAATAGTAGAAACAAGTAAAACTTGAATACTATATCAAATATTCATGTAAAATATTAATAGAAAATGTGGAAAATCCTTCAAGGGAAAAAGAACATGACTGTATCACAAATATACAGGAAGAAAATGTGATAAATATACCATGTTCATAGATAGGAAGGAAATAATATAGAGATATTAGTTCTCTGAGATTTTTTTTGGTCCACTGAGGCATTTCATTTGTACATCTTACATCCTTAGAAAAAGAATCCCAGGATGTTTCCTCCTGTGTGTTTTTGTCGCGCTTTTTCATGATCCCTGATGCCAGCCGAGGTTGTCCATACGATGAAACCAAACTGACGAGATGGAAGCAGGTTATTCTGTCATTTTTCCAGGTATTTCAGCCTCACATCAAACCTGGGGCTGATCACGCTACACTTGCTTAACCTGCCTGTGAGGTTCACAACAATTTTTCCAGTCCTGTGATCATCAGTGATTTCAGATTCGACAATGTAACCACGCTTCATCCTCACAGTTAGAAACTAGACAATGACTTTGGAGTACAGCCTAATGAAGACCTGGCATTTCCTCTCCTTTTGGCCCTGTTGGTGCTCCTTTTTTTAAAAAATAATTTTATTGAGAAACAAATAACAATGAGACAGTTTCAAAACTGATTAGTAGAACAGTTTCAATAATTAATACATTGCGTATTGTTGTCTTTGTAGTGGTTATTCGTAGTACAAGATGCAGACATGATATCCTGTCCAAACACTATTAGTACAAATCTTTCTTCTCATTGAATTAAGAGCAAGTAGCTGTATATCTATCATATTTTGTATACACAGATACAGAATGGTCCTTCATTTAAATCCCCCTTTTTTGTTTTGTTTCGTCAGAGATGGGTATTCCATTGCCATTTAAATACTGTAGGTGCGTGAATTCAGCAAAATATTCCAATGTAGTCCAGTAGTCCATAATAGTGTTGGGTTATCCGTAGGACTGGCAATGTCAGAAGTTGTTGACTTGAGCTTTTTACAGCTCAGCATATTAACATGGCTTTACTTTTTATATCTTGTGGTTACACTTCTCTACTAGATGGCTAAGACCAAGATAAAGCAAAACCTATATAACAAGAAATATAGCTTTTGTAACTGACAAGGTCAACAGCAGCCAGGACATTCACGTGCACCCTTACGGCAACATGGAAAAGTGGTGGAAAGAGCTAGTTCTCTAAACTGATGCACACAGTCAATCCAAGTCTAAGCAAAGCTAAAAGACATGGGCTGGGGAGATGGCCCGGCACCCTAAGCACCTGCCTGGCAAGGGTAAGGACACAGATTCAATCCCCAGTACTACATTCCTTGCTGGCTTAGCAGCCCCAGGTTCTCGGTATCAGCCTGAAACCAGGTGTGGTGGTACACACGTGTAATTCCTGTGCTGGGGAGGCTAAGGAAGGAGGATCACTATGAGTTTGAACTGTGTAGCAAAACCGCATAGCAATCAATCAATCAATCAATCAATCAATCAAATCAAAAACTAAAAGACACTTTTTAATAGAATTTGAAAATATAATCCTAAAGCCAAGAGTACAGGCAAATATCAAATTACATTTGAAATTGAAATATTTCTGAGCAGGTCGGCCAAATAACTCAGTGGATTAAAGCACCTGCAAGCAGGATTTGAGCCCGAGGCCTGCTGTAACAGCCCCGCCCATGTGGCACACTGAGACAGCAATGAGATTGGGCGTGGGGGCATGTGCCTGTAATCCCAGCTCTTGGGAGGCTGTAAATAGGTGAATCACTATGAGTCTGATC